CCCATCACCCCACTTCTCTTTCCGCTTATTTTGGGAGGCCTCTGGGGTGGCGAGTCCTTTGGGTGAAGGGGAGGCTCTGGGGCGACTAGGGTGCAAAGACGGCTGTTGGGGGGCTGAGAGATGAATGAGAGGATCCCCTGGGTGGGTGGAAGGGAAACCATGGGGACCAAGGCCTTTGAGGTCCCTGCAACCCCCCACCCAACCCCCACGAACCCAGGGTGGGGGGAGTGCAGGCTCTTTGGGGGGCTCAGAAATGGGTGTCCCTTGGGAAGGGGGGAGGATTCCAAGTGGGGAAAGAGGGTGGGCCCCTGTATTTGGCAGATGCTTTCTTTGTGACCCCTGCATTGCAGAGGGGTTGGACTAGATGACCCTGGGGGTCCCTTCAAGCTCCACCGTTTTATGGTTCTGGGGGGTGGAGGACAGATTGAATAAGTATCACCAGAAAACATTTAAAAATGGGGCTCCTTGTGTGATCTGAACTGTGGGTTCTCACATATGTTAATGTCCAAAATTCAGCATTCGATTGACGTTGGAGAGAGACTAAGTTGAGAAATAAGACCAAGGGTAGATATTGATATTGCAATGTGTTAGATAAAATGTAAAGAAATATACAATAAGAAGAGTACATTTGTCAGGGGCTCAGGAGCAGAGGCACAGGGGAGAGAGGAAATGGAGAGCGAAGGGGAGGAATCTGAGGGCAGCGGAGGGGAGAATGACAGTGACCCGAGAGATTCCATGAGCTTCTCCAGCAAATCAGAAGATTCCCAGAAGGGGCGCCGATGGTCAGGGCAAGGGGGGTCCCAGGGGGGACGCACCAGAAGCAAGGGGCCAGCGGGGACTCCCAAAGCAGCAGTGGGAGATCAGGACCAGCTTCCCCACCAGAGCGTAGTGGGGGGGAAGAGTCCCATGTGTCAGGGCCAGCGTCTCCTCCAGCAGGGAGAGAAGGTGAGTCAGGGCTGACCACGCCTCTATCGGAGAGTGGGGGAACGGAGGGGAGGTCAGATCCAGCTAGCCTCACTGAAGGGGGAAGCAGTGACAGGAGCAGTGTAACGGTCAGGAGGAAGGTGGCCAGCTGGGCGCGCGCGCCAAGTTCGAATGTACAGGCGCGCGGGACAGCAGAAAACCCGGATTGGGAACCAGGTCCTAAAGCCCGCCGGAGGCAGGGGGAAGACTCAGGGGACTCAGCGTCAGAAGAGTCTAGGAAGGGCAAGACCCCAGCAGACAGGCGGACCCAGAGGAGGAAAGAGGAAAGGAAGAGGTGGAGCAAGGCTAGAGTCTTAAACTGGTGTCTGGGGGGAGGAGACTCAGACGGAGCTTCGGCGGTCTAGAGTTTGAGACGTAGGGCTGCGCGCCGCGGCTGTGAAAGCGAAACTGAGCTTCAATAAAGACTGTTTTATATAACAACGAACTGGCGTTGGTCCTTTGTGAGCTGGGACCTAGGGCAGCCCTGACAACATTCATTTGTAAAAAAGGAATATAGAGTGGTACCTCTGGATGCAAACGGGATCGTGTTCCGTTACTTCCAGGTGGCCGCAGGAATTCAACCCGAAAACGCTCAACCCGAAGCTACTTTAACCTGAGGTACGACTGTACAGCGGGATATAAAGGAAGTCCGAAGTGTTGGAATATATATGATTTTGGAATAGTTTTTTGTCCTTGTGTTTCCCCCCTTTAAGTATATAAACTTTGTATACAAGCTGAAAAATAAAATGTAATTCATATAACTTATAAAGTTTTTGCAAATAGTCCTTATATTTCTTCCAGTCCTCCTCCATTGCTTCTTCTCCCAGATCTCGGATCCTGGCAGTCATCTCGGCCAACTCCATATAGTCAATCAATTGCGTTTGCCACTCTTCCAGTGTGGGCAAATCTTGAGTCTTCCAGTATTTGGCGATAAGAATTCTTGCTGCTGTGGTTGCATACATAAAAAACGTTCTGTCCTTCTTTAACACCTTTTGGCCCATAATGCCCAAGAGGAAGGCCTCCGGTTTCTTAGGAAAGGTGTACTTAAACACCTTTTTTAACTCGTTATAGATCATCTCCCAGAAGGCCTTCACTCTTGGACAGGTCCACCAAAGGTGAAAGAATGTTCCTTCAGCCTCCTTACACTTCCAACATTTGTTATCAGACAAATGGTATATCTTAGCAAGCTTGACTGGGGTCATGTACCACCTGTATATCATTTTCATAATGTTTTCTTTCAAGGCATTACATGCCGTGAATTTCATACCGGTGGTCCATAACCTTTCCCAGTCTTCAAACATAATGTTGTACCCAATGTCTTGAGCCCACTTTATCATGGCTGATTTAACTGTCTCATCCTGAGTATTCCATTTAAGCAGCAAGTTATACATTCTCGATAGTACCTTGGTCTTTGGTTCTAACAGCTCTGTCTCAAGTTTCGATTTTTCCACCTGGAATCCTGTTTTTTTGTCCAACTTAAAAACCTCATTAATTTGGGCATAATGAAACCAATCTTGCACCTTATCCTTTAATTTTCAAAGCTCTGCAACCTCCAATTATCTCCAATTTTTTCTATTAATTCCCAATATTTTGGCTAGCCGGCCTCCATATTGGGTTTTTTCCACGCCTTGGCCTCCACTGGTGATAACCACCTCGGAGTCTTGCTTTCAAGTAAGTCTTTGTATTTTGTCCAGACCATAAATATTGCTTTTCTGACAATATGGTTTTTGAACATTTTATGTGTTTTCACCTTGTCATACCACAAGTACGCATGCCAACCTAGCGAATTATTAAAGCCTTCCAGATCTAGGACATCAGTGTTTTCTAACAAAATCCAATCTTTCATCCAGCAGAAGGCTGCAGCTTCGTAGTATAACCTTAAGTCCGGCAGGGCAAACCCCCCTCTTTCTTTTGCATCAGTTAATATTTTAAACTTAATTCGGGGCTTTTTGCCCTGCCAAACAAACTTCGAAATGTCCTTCTGCCACTTCCCAAAACATTCCACTCTGTCCACGATCTGCAAGGCTTGAAACAGAAACAACATTTTTGGCAAAACGTTCATCTTTATAGCTGCAATTCGGCCAGTACAGCGGGATATAAAGGAAGTCCGAAGTGTTGGAATATATATGATTTTGGAATAGTTTTTTGTCCTTGTGTTTCCCCCCCCTTTAAGTATATAAACTTTGTATACAAGCTGAAAATTACAGTGTAATAAGCCTTGTGATATAATATGATTATGTTAACCGATGTAACATAAGAACTTTAATAAATAAATAAAACTGGAAGGCCCACCCCCCAAGTTTATTATTATTATTGGGCAAAAAAATTCCTGCATTGCAGGGGTTGGACTTGATGATCCTCGGGGGTCCCTTCCAACTCTGTAGTTCTATGATTAACCACCAGTCAATAATGTGGGGGACTCACCCGCTAACTGCCCCCTATTAAATATACAGTGGTACCTCGGGTTACATATGCTTCAGGTACATACGCTTCAGGTTACAGACTCAGCTAACCCAGAAATAGTGCTTCAGGTTAAGAACTTTGCTTCAGGATGAGAACAGAAATCATGCCATGCGGCGCGGCAGCAGCTGGAGGCCCCATTAGCTAAAATGGTGCTTCAGGTTAAGAACAGTTTCAGGTTAAGTACGGACCTCCAGAACGAATTAAGTACTTAACCCGAGGTACCACTGTAGAGGCGCACATCTCACTGTGTGCAAACTACAAAAATCCATACAATTTACCACAGTTTATCTTGTAGTGAGTGAATATTGTCTCGGGCAGAAGTTGAACAAACAACAAGGAGAGTTTTATGAACAAAAAGAAGCTTTTGAAAGAAAGTGGGTCAGGAAATGTGTTCTCCTAGGTAGGAGTCAACTTATTTACTTAAACTTTAAGATGTCTCAGGCTTAAACACAGGATTACAGTCAAAGCTTCTCTTAAGCTCTCTTCACTAAAAAAAAAGTTGTTATACTTCATTTTCTGTTACTTAGTTATGTCAGGTGGTTCAGTTAAATACTGATAATACAGCACATCTTACTTCCCCGATCAATACCCTGGTTCATGAGTGAGGGGCCCTTTTCCTCAGCCCCCCCTTCTCTCTAAGCACTGCTGAGGTAATTCCAAAATGGTGTAACAGACCCAAGGGATCTCCTACCCACCCTTATGACTGACTTGGGTGTCCTCTCTCCCTCGAAGAACTGCCCCCTCCTGACTGGAAGGAGACCCAGGGGGAGCCTGAATGCCCCCCAGGATCTGCTTCTCCTGCCTCAAGAGTCAGCCCTCCCAGGACACCAGTTTGTAGACCTTCCCCAGACCCCCAACTGGGTCTCCCTCTCCAGGCTGGGAGGGTCTGTCCTCTCTCAGGGAGGGTGTTCAACTCAACCAGAACCAGTTCTCCCTCAGGCAAATCCTATCCTCCTCCCCAACTCCCACCTCAAAACAATCCCTCTTCATCTTCTCTCATATCAAACACTATCTAACTCTCCCTCAGAAAGGACTCCTTTTATTTTCCCTCCAAAAGTGCTGTTGTCCAATCAGAGAGAGGTTCCATCCCTCTGGTGGAATTTCAGGGGGCCTGAATGACCAGACTCTGGTCCAGCTCTGCTGTCCGTCACACTTCTGCCTGACAACAACCAGTACAGGTCAGCAATAGGAAATTTCTGTCCCTCATCACAACCACCAGACCTACTAAAGATCAATACTTTGTAAGGAAAACTTCAGGAACCTGGAATCTCCATGTATCTACATCACCTTGGGTTTCACAATATGGCAGTTCTAAGAGCAGAGGTGGGGAAAGCAGGAGTTTGCCTGTGAGAGGAAGAGTTTTGGGCTCCTTGTGAAAGGAAATTCCAGGAACCAGGAACCACTTCAGACAAGGCCTTTCCCAGGATGGAAAGAGAGTGAGGGAAATCCCTTTTGAAATAGTTTATTCCAGGCTTTAAGATACGGGGTAAGAATTTCCTTCCAAACCACCCCTCAATGGCCCATGGCCAGGGGAAGGAATAACACCTCCAAGAAAAACACAGCCAAGAGAGAGGAAAATTCAACATCCGGAAGGGACCCAGTTTATTGAGAGAAAAGCTATTGCAATAGCTCCAGCAACTCAAAACCAGAGGTTCAATTTAGTACAACTTTGAGAGGGTTTTTTTGAGGAAGGTACAGGCATTAGCTCATACAAGTTATACATGGAATGGAAGGTCACAGGTCAGGGAGCTAAAACGGTTCTTCTGTCCATTATTTTGGGTATCCTGGTGTCTTGCTGTCTTAGGATTTACATTTCATTCATTTATTGTCCATCTCCCTGACAACCAGACCTTTATAAAGTCCTTAGCTTACCATTCCAATGGCTCCCAACGCCTGGGTAGAAGACTCAAGGGAAGAAGAGTCGGTCACATAAATTTTCTATTTCTAAACTTTTTAAACAGTAGTTTGAAAGATAAGAGAAAGGAAGTAGGGGTTGAGAAGTCCACGTAGCCTAGAAATTATTAGAGCACTGAGACATAGCTTCCATCAGAGAAAGTAAGGTGAAGGTATAACAAAGGTACATATATTTCATTCACTGTTAAGTTATACGAATTCTATCATATGCTAAATGGGTTAACCAATTTTACAACAGAAACACCAGTTCAGTCTCGACCTGAGAGGTTGCAAAACGAGGGGGCAGATACAGAAGGAAGATCCAGCCCCCCCAAAGAGAAAGAAGGCTGCAGCTGATCTAGAACACTGTTTCCCTCCAAGCCGTATTAATGGATCCTTCTCTAGGAGGACTTGGAGGAGCCACAGACCCTTGGGAAGGAGAGAGGAGCAAAGGATGCCCCAGAGCCCCTCTGGAGAAGTTACTGACAGCACTCAAAACAGAATCACCCACCCAAGGCCATGTTTCTCTCTCTCCACCACCTTCTCTTCCCCCAGGGTTGCTTTTATTCATCTAGAGGAGCGGGGGAGGGAGTCTCTTTCACACACCCTCTGGACACCCCAGGAACCCTGCTTTCTTCAGTCCTCTATTCCTGCTGCCACTGGAAATAATGTTTTATCTGAACATTGTGCCCATCAGAGAACCAATGAAGAGGAAGGGTTGTAACACAATTAGTGTATCAATTATAAAAACTACAGAAAGGGTTTATGCACATAAGAAGATGGCCTCACTCTTTCTGTGTCTTATTTGTTCATTTAGTATAATTACAACAATAGGTGTTATACGGTTGTTCGTATAGTACTAATTTAAACAACCCTGCTTCCAAAGCACCACAACTTTCACCTACACGAAAGCTCATACCAAGAACTAACTTAGTTGGTCTTTAAGGTGCTACTGGAAGGAATTTTTTTTGTTTTGACTATGGCAGACCAACACGGCTACCCATTTGCAACTGGAACTTTCACCTTGTAATTTCCACAATGCTCTACTAGCAACCCCAAAACACCAACATTCCCAACTCTCTCTACCAAAGACTGAACTTCAGCCGACTCAAAGAGCATCAACATTGACCACCAGCATTGCAGGTTCACACTCTCTGCAAACTGCAAACAGTTCATGACATATGATATTGCATTTACTATTGTGAGAAATCATTACTTGATTACATGGCTACAAATTTACATGCAGACACCAGAACTTCACATATACTCTATGTATCTAGCGGCTGATGGATATTAAGATCTGCACTCCAACTGAAGCTCCTTCCACACTCCATGCAATTAAATGGCTTCTTCCCATGCGAGTTCACTACTGTTTTGCACAGTTTTCACTCTGACCGAAGCTCTTTAAACACTCCATATAGTTAAATGATTTCTCGCTGATATATGTCCTTCCACAATGACTGAAGCCCTTTCCACATTCCATATATTTAAATGATTTCTCACTATCAGTAAAGCTCTTTGCACACGCAATCCTCACATTTAAATGCTCCCCCCCGCTGTGAATGTTCTCTGGGGTCTTTAAAATGTCCGCTTTGACGGAGGCTCTTTCCACACTCCTTACATTTAAATGGTTATTCTCTGGTGTGAGTTTGCTGATGTCTCTTAAGGTTTCCACTCTGACTGAAGAGCTTTCCACATTCCATACATTTACATGGTTTCTCCTTTGTGTGAGTCTGTAGATGGCTTCTAAGGGTTCCACCATTACGGAAGCTCTTTCCACACTCCATACATTTAAAAGGTTTCTCCCCTGTGTGAGTTCTTTGGTGGCTTTTATAATTTCCACTTTGACTGAAGCTCTTTCCACAGTCTATACAGTTATATGGGTTCTCCCCTGTGTGAGTTCTTTGGTGCAGTCTAAGGTTTTTGGTTGAAGTGAAGCTCTTTCCACACTCCATACATTTATATGGTTTCTCCCCTGTGTGAGTTCGCTGATGTATTCTAAAGGTCAGACTATGACGAAAACTCTTTCCACACTCCATACATTTAAATGGTTTCTCCCCTGTGTGAGTTCTTTGGTGTATTCTATAATTTCCAATTTGACTGAAGCTCTTTCCACACTCTATACAGTTATACGGGTTCTCCCCTGTGTGAGTTCTTTGGTGCAGTCGAAGGTATCCACTTTGATTGAAGCTCTTTCCACACTCCATACATTTAAATGATTTCTCCCCTGTGTGAGTTTTCTGATGTGTACTAAGGTTTCCACTTTGACTGAAGCTCTTTCCACATTCCATACATTTAAATGGTTTCTCCCCTGTGTGAGTTTGCTGATGTATTTGAAGGGGCCCACTTTGATGGAAGCTCTTTCCACACTCCATACAATGGAATGGTTTCTCCCCTGTGTGAGTTTTCTGATGTGTTCTAAGGTTTCCACTTTGACTGAAGTTCTTTCCACATTCCATACATTTAAATGGTTTCATCCCTGTGTGAGTTCGCTGATGTATTGTAAGGGCGTCCCTACGACCAAAGCTCTTTCCACATTCCATACATTTAAATGGTTTCTCCCCTGTGTGAGTTTTCTGATGTATTCTATAATTTCCAATTTGACTGAAGCTCTTTCCACACTCAACACATTTAAATGGTTTCTCCCCCGTGTGAGTTCTTTGGTGCAGTCTAAGATATTCACTTTGATTGAAGCTGTTTCCACACTCCATACATTTAAATGGTTTCTCCCCTGTATGAGTTCGCTGATGTGTTCTTAGGCTTCCATTATGGACAAAGCTCTTTCCACACTCCATACATTTGAATGGTTTTTCTCCCGTGTGAATTCGCTGATGTGTTCTAAGGTGTCCACTTTGACTGAAGCTCTTTCCACACTCAACACATTTAAATGGTTTTTCCCTTGTGTGAATTCTTTGATGGATTCTAAGTGCTCCACGCTGACTGAAGCTCTTTCCACACTCCATACATTTAATTGGTTTCCCCCCTTACGAGTTTGTTGATTTTTCCAAAGAGTTTTGCTCCAGTTCAAGCTCTTTTTGCACTGCATAGCTTTAGATGGTTTCTCTTCTGTTGAGTTCATTATTGTAAATGCAGTGTACGCAGTGACAGAAGGACATTATGTACATTTTAACTTTGCCTTCATTATTCTCAATGAAATTGAAGTTGTCTCCTCAGAATTTGGATCACTTTCTCCTTTGGGAGGAAAGAAAATCATTTTAGGGTTTCAAGGAAGAGGGAAACGGAACTTAACACAAAGTGAGTCTAATTAACAGCACCATCTTTTTTTTAAAGCATCTCCTAGATTCTCCCCTCTCTTCTCTATGTCTCCCTGAGGAAGTATGGCCAGGGAATGGACCACCTGATCTCATGCCCTTCTTGTAATATAGAACTATCCTCGTGGAAATTATCTGTCCAGGGCTCTCTCACTTTCCTTTCTTCTTTGGGTGAGTGGCTAAGCAAATATGTGTGACACTGAAAAAGCTGAATTCTAACGGGAAGACTTTCAGAAGAAAATATCCTTTGGAATAATATACCAATTGCATGTAAGCTGTCAATTGGATTACAAAAGTGGATTATGCCTTTCCTAAATGTGGCCAAGAGAATGATACTATAAATTAAAGGGGGAAAATATGTTCCACCTTAATTAATCAATTAATTAATTATAATATATTATTCAAATCCCACCCATCCGGCTGGGTTCCCCCAGCCCTCTGGGCAGCTCTCAATGGAATATTAAAACATGATTAAACATAAAACATCGACTTCCTGTTGGTCTGCAGAGCTGAGAAGAGACAGGACTCAGCCCTTAGGGGAGAGTTCAGCTCTTTGCAAGACAAAGGGGGAGTCTGCAAGGGCACCCCCCCAAAACAGGAGTAAAAAGAGAGGGGTGGTGTTTTATTAAGAAAATATGAAGTGAGACAAATCTTTAAGGTCAAAGAAGGGAGGAAAACTGATAATTGTCAGGATTTATGCACCAAATGGCAGTAAGACTAAATTTTATAGAAAGTTGGAAGAGAAATTATTTGACTTTGTGGATCAAAAAATAATTATGGGGGACCTGAAGGGGGAAGTTTCATTGGAAATTGATAGAATGAGAAAGAGAATAGAATCAAGCTTGTTTGTTAAAAATATGGACAAAAAAGATGGTGGACCAGTTGCAACAATAAACGTAAACAGGGGTGGTAAAGAAAGTGAAATACCTAAGAATATTGTTAACCCCCCAAAATATAAATTTCTATCAAGACAACCACAACCAGGTATGGAATAAGATTAAGAGAGATTTGGAAGTGTGGGGAAGGATGAAATTGTCACTTTGGGGAAGGATATCGGTTATAAAAATGAATGTGCTACCAAAAATGTTATTTTTCTTTCAGTCAATTGATGGAGTACACAGAATTAGCTAAGATGACCGAGAGAATCCGAGAACGGGGACCAAAAATTCCTGAAGGACTGGAGTAAATTTGTGAATTATTTGAAGGACAATGGTATTCAGTTGAATACGCTTGTAGGATAACAAGAAGTTTTGTGAAAAAATGGAGATAAGACATATTGTTAATCAAAGTTAAAATATAGGATGTTAAGATTTTGATTATATAAACAGTAGTAAAGAGAAAATGTAAACAGAAGAGAGATAGGATGAAATCATTAGAAGGGAATGATGGAAGTCACTGGCTAAAAATAGCCAAGATGTGTAAGAGATGATAAGATGGATGTTTTGTTTGGAAAGTTTATGTTAAAAATCAATATACCCAAAACTTTCTAAGAAAATAAAAAATAGAAATTTTAAATGATAATGGGGAGAAAAACTAGCTAATAAATTGTTGTTGTTTTTATTAAATATTATAAAAATTTCAGCTACACCCTACTGGCACCATTGGAGGAAGCGATGAACAATATTTTGAAAAAAGGAGACTTGGAAAGAAGCATATATTACACTGATTCCCAAACCAGACTCAGACTTATTACAGCTTAAAATCTACAGGCCGATTTTTTGTTGATTAAAAACTTAGAAAGGATGGAAATGGGTCAATTGTTTATGAGAAGTATAAAAGCAATATATTCAAGACAAAAGGCAAAACTTATTGTAAATAAATGTATTAATAGAAAATATTGAAATATTGAAATTACAAAAGGGACAAAACAAGGGTGTCCACTATCACCATTGTTATTCATATCGGTTCTGGACGTTCTCCTGAATAATATAAGCTTAGCAGAAGGAATTAAAGGATTATCAGTCAGAACCCTCCAGCAATGGGCATTGTCTATCATGATAATGGGTCCTTTACCCTTGAAGCCCACCAATATATCAATGATATATGAATCCCGAAAGCATTTTCATGGCACCCTCCACCCATATTTTTGGGTTGCTGTACAGTGGTACCTCGGGTTACAGGCGCTTCATGTTACAGACTCCTCTAACCCAGAAATAGTACATCGGATTAAGAACTTTGCTTCAGGATGAGAACAGAAATCGCATAGTGGCGGCGCGGCAGCAGTGGGAGGCCCCATTAGCTAAAGTGGTACCTCAGGTTAAGAACAGTTTCAGGTTAAGAACGGACCTCCGGAACGAATTAAGTTCTTAACCCAAGATACCACTGTACAACAGCATCAATGATCAGTCGTGCAGTGGAAAGTGAACATTGCTACTTACCGTGATGGGTTCCTTCTCTGCAGGGAGGAAGTGGGTCTCATGTGAGTTGTCAACATCCCCTCTCCCCTGGTAGGAAGTCAAACTTTCGAGATGGGCAAGACGACCCTCTCGCTAGCTCAATTTGTGCTTAAGCAGGTAGCTGTATAGCAACAGAACAGGAAGATAAACCCCGAAAGCATTTCCACAGCACCCTCCACCCATATTTTTGCACTGGTGTTCAACAGCATCAATGATCAGTCGTGCAGTGGAAAGTGAACATTGGTACTGACCGTGATGGGTTCCTTCTCTCCATTGAGGATGGGGGTCCTTTGTGGGGTGTCAACACCCCCCTCTCCCCTGGAAGGAAGTCAAACTTTCCAGATGGGCAAGACAACCCTCTCGCCAACTCAATTTGTGCTTAAGCAGGTAACTGTATAGCAAGAAATAAAGAACAGAACAGGAAGAAAAAGGAAGACAACTTCTTAGGATAAAGGAACTCAGTGGTCCCACAGTTACTCTGGAGAACTTCCTAAGGTAGTCCAGGTAGAGAAGAGAAGAAAACCCAGGTAAGGGAGGAAGAGTAAGAGAAGGGAGGAGGAGGGGAAGGAGAGACAGGAGGATTCTGGACATTTGGGTGGGGGAGTCCCAACCCCCAGGACAACCCTTGTTCCTCTGAATCTGATGGTCTCCCCCTCCTCAGAGAGTGAAAAGGCCGCAGGAAGAGAAGAGAGGAAAGAGGAGACAGGAGACAAAGGAGGAGAAAGGGAAGAAGGAAGGAAGATCCCTTCAGAAATGGCGTTCCTGACTTTTCTCTTATGCTCTGCCTGGAGCTCTCATGCAGCTGACCTGGCCAGGGGGTTGCTCTGCCCACCAGGTCTGCCCTCTTGAAATTTGGACCTCCTGCCAGCACAGAGCTGGGGCAGGGCCACCCACACAGGACCGCCCCCCCCTGCAATAAACTGGAAGCCTGAGCGAAGGGGGGAAGTGTCCGGTAACTTAAGGGAGGGGGTTCTTCCCAGGATCTTCCTGCCTTTTCTCTCCAGTGGCTGGACTTGGTAGAAAGAAGCGTCCTGGAAAGAAGTGGCTGGGGAAATGGGACCCCCCCCCCCTTTTCAAGGATCCCTCCCTGTCCCTCTCTCCAAGGCAGATTTCTTGCCGGCAAGGAAAAAGCCAAGGCAGCCCCTCTGGAGATACCACCCCCCAGCGCCCAAGATGGAGACATCTCTTCCAAAAGGCCACGGGTCTCTCTCTGTCCGACAGTACTCTCCCCCTCCCCGCGCCAGGGACGCTTCCATTGATCACTCAGCCCCCCAACTTCCTCTGCCCTCCTCCCTCCGTCCCTGAGTCTCCCCTGCAATATCTCCCGAGCGCGAAGGAAGGAAGGAAGGAAGGAAGGAAGGAAGGAAGGAAGGAAGGAAGGAAGGGGGTGTCTCTATCCAGGCCTCTCTCTCGCCCTTTCATCCTTCCATGGACTCCCTCTATCCCCTGGGGGGGGTGCTTCAAAGCAGAAGGTGCCACGAAACCCTGCAAGGACGTCCTCTCCAGAAAGGCCCACTGCGCCCCCCCCCCGTGCATATCCCATAGCCAAGTGTAATGGGGGTGATCTCTTGTGTTGGAGGGGCTTCATCGTCGCATGTAAGATCTGGGTTGTTTGGGGGGGGATAGGAGGGGGTCTTTGTCTTTTCCCCCTCCCCATTTCCCCCTCCCCTTCCCCATCGCTGCATCTTTACAAAGACAAAGTCTTTGCCCTTTCCTCCCCCTCCCCACTTCACCCCCCCCCATCCCTGCATCTTTACCCCTTTGTCCTCTCTTCTGCCCCTCCGCCTCCCTTGCTCGCTCTGCCGATGTCTTTCCCTGCAACAGAAAGAGCAGGGCGGGAGGAGTTAGTCCAGCGACGCCCCCCCCCTTTCTCAAGCCCCTCTCGATGCTCCTTTTTCCTGCCTGCCAGGAAAAGTCCGGCCCATAGAGCTACGGGGCAGAGCAGCCCCTGCCGGTGATCCGATGGGAACCGGCACTGAGGATATTCCCAGGACTTGCATGGGAGGCGCTTGGGGGGGGAGTCAGGCGGGGGTGCCTCTCTATCTCCTCTCTATGATACAGGGGGGCCCTGTTCTTCCCTGCTCAGTTCCTCTGGGATCCTGCATCTCAGCCCGCAAGGCCCCTTTTCTGTGGTTTCACCAAGCTGGCAAGGCGGTTCTTTGGCCACTGCTTCCCTGCCTCTGCTTTACAGAAAGAGCAGCAAACTCTGCACATGCCCAGAGAATACTGTATGAACTCCCACCACACAGTTGAGGCAACTGAAATTGGAATTGTATGGAGGATTTTCAAAACTGCGGTCATGTCTGGGGACTGCATCTTGAATACCATTTTGGAAGACTGAAGGTGCAGCTTTGTTTGCTTTGCAAGGATTAAAAACTTCAAGAATGAGTACTTTACCCAGTTACCTTGGAGGAGGTTCCACTGAATTCATTGGGATAGGTCACTTAGAGCCCGAGAGTCCTAATCTCAGGGTTGTGGGTTCAAGTCTCACATTGGGCAAAAATATTCCTGCATTGTGGAGGGGTTGGACTAGATGACCCTCAGGGGTCCTTTCCAACTCTGCAGTTCTGTGATTAACCACCAGTCAAGAATGCGGCAGACTCACCCCACTAACTGCCCCCCTTTAAATAGAGCGTGCACACCTAACAGTACACCAACCTCAAAGATCTCACCAATTTACCAGTTTATCTTGTAGTGAGTGAATAGAGACTCAGACAGAAGTTGAACAAACAATCATGAAAGTTTTATTAACAAAAAAAGAAGTTTGTGAAAGAAAGTGGGTCAGGAAATGTGTTTTCCTGGGTAGAAGTCAACTTATTTACTTAAACTATAAGCTGTCTCAGGATTAAACACAGTGTTACTTAATCTCTCTTTACTCAAATATCAGTTGTTATATTTCAGTTTCTGTTACTTAGTTATGTCAGGTGGTTCAGTTAAATACTGATAATACAGCACATCTTCCTTCCCCGATCAATGCCCTGGTTCATGAGCGAGGGACATTTTTCCTCAGCTCCGCTTCTCTCTAAGCACTGCTGAGGTAATTCCAAAATGGCTTAACAGACCCAGGGGATCCCCTCCCCCCTTGTGACTGGCTTGGGGGTCCTTTCTCCCTAGAAGAACTGTCCCTTCCGGACTGGAAAGAGACCCAGGGGAGCCTGAATCCTCCAGGATCTGCTTCTCCTGCCTCAAGAGTCAGCCATCCCAGGACACCCGTTTGTAAACCTTCCCCAGACCCCCAACCACATGGACGTTCTCCTCAGGGTGGGTGTTCCAACTCAAACCAGAACCAGTTCTCCCTCAGGCAAATCCTATCCTCCTCCCCAACTCCCACCTCAGAACAATCCCTCTTCATCTTCTCTCATATCAAACCCTAACTCTCTCCCTCAGAAAGAAAAAAAATTTCCTTCCAGTAGCACCTTAAAGACCAACTAAGTTAGTTCTTGGTATGAGCTTTCGTGTGCATGCACACTTCTTCAGATACACTGAAACAGAAGTTGCCAGATCCTTCTATATAGTGAGAAGGTGGGGAGGGGTATTACTCAGAAGGGTGGTGGGAATGGGTGATTGGCAGGTAGCTGAGATAGCTGTGATGAGCCTGTTGACGACTCTAAACGACTGCAATAGGTCTTACGGGGAAAAAGCAAGGGGTGAGAAGGTCCTCAGAAAGGACTCCTTTTAGTTTCCCTCCAAAAGTGCCGTTGGCCAATCAGAGAGAGGTTCCATCCCTCTGGTGGAATTTCTGGGGGACTGAATGACCAGACTCTGGTCCAGCTCTGCCTTCCGTCACACTTCTGCCTGACAACAACCAGTACAAGTCAGCTGTAGGAAATTTCTGTCCCTCATCACAACCACCAGACCTACAAAAGGCCAATATTTTCAGAGGAAAACCTCAGGATTTGGGAATCCCCACATATCTGCATTGCCTTAGGTTTCACGTTATGGCAGTTCTAAGAGGAGATGGCAAAATCAGGAATTTGAGAGGAAGAGTTTGTGGCTACTTTGTGGAAGTTCATTCCAGAAACTAGGAGCCACTTTGGAGAAGGCCTTTCCCAGGAAGGAACAGGGTGAGGGAAATCTGACAACCCCTTTAAAAAGAGTTCATTTCACACGGTCTTAACGCTGTGTCGGTAGGTGACTGTGGAGGCAAATTCTGGATCCATACATCCTTCCACAGTGGGGATCCGAGGCATAGCTAGGGGTCAGGGGCAATGAGACCACACCGCAGGGAGTGGCACTACACCTGAGCCATGCGTCTCTCCTGGGAGTGATGTGATGACTTGGGTGCATGCAGGCTCTGCGCTGCCCACAAAAAGCAATGCGGGTCTGCTGGGTGTTGGAGCAGAACGGGCCTCAGGCACTGATATTCTGGTGTGCCTGGCGCAAGCCCCACTGCCCTGGGTGTCCAAGCAGCTAGCTATGCCATTGTTGGGGACATACCGTAGGTTTCCAGGTGGGAGTCGATTGTTGTGAGGGTTTGCCAAACGTGCTTTCCTCTTAGAACACTCCCCCCTTTTGTCATGGTTTTGATCACCTTTAAAGTCCATGACACCTTTGCTAAAGGCCGTTCTCCCACTGGAGCAGTCACAGGTCAGAGTTTCCCGATTGTCGGTGTTTATACTACATTCTCTCAAAGGTTAATGTCCAGGGGAGGGAATAACGCCTCAAAGAAAAACACAGTCAAGAGATAGAAAAACTCAACATCCGGAAGGGACCCAGTTTATTTTGAGATAAGCTATTGCAATAGTGTCAGTGACTCCAAGTCAGGAGTTCATTTTAAAACAGTTTTGAAAGAAATGCACAGGCATTAGCTCATAGAAGTTATACATGAAAGGGAAGGTCACAGGTCAGGGAGCTAAAACTCTTTTTCTGTCAGTTATCTTGGGTGTCCAGGTGTCTTGGAATCTTAGGATTTATATTTCACTCACTTTTTGTCCACCTACCAATCCTTAGCATTCCATTCCCATAGCTTCCTATGCCTGGAAAACTCAAGGTGAGAACAGTCGGTCACATAAAGTGCTATTTCTAAAACGATTTAAACAGGACTTCCGGCGAGGCAGCATGGCGGCTGCAACAGCAGAAAAGAGCTCCTGAAGCCAGCCAGAGTAAAAGGCTCTGTCTGGCCACCCCAGGGCTCCCAAGTCTGCTGCCGCCAGCACCAACAGCGGAGAGGAATCGGGGGTGCCCAGGCATCTATCAAAGGAGCCAAAACACCCCCCCCCACGACTGAGATTGAGCCGGAAAGGCACCCGACCACCCCCCCCAACAGCAGAGAGGAGCTCCAAAACCAGGAGGACAGTGGAGCCAACACAAAGAGGGAGAAAGAAAGGGGGAGAGAGGAAGAAAAAGAAAGAAAAAGGAGCCCCAAACTTACCGCTGCCGCCCCCATCTCTGCCGAGGAGAAAGCAGAGGAGAGGTACGTGAGCACGGGAAGGCAAAAAAGGCTCCGAAAAAACAACACGTGGCTGAGCCCCACCGGGAAACACAAAGAAGCAGCATAACAAAGGAGAAACTAGCTTTTTTTCCCCTCCCCCCCCTTTTTTTTTTTAACCCCCTTCCTTTTTTTAACCCCTTCCTCCCCCTCCCTCCCCCCTTAAAAAAGCAGGGGAGAGGTAGGTGAACACGGGAAGGCAAAAAAGGCTCCGAAAAAACAACAACACGTGGCTGAGCCCCACCGGGAAACACAAAGAAGCAGCATAACAAAGTAGAAACTACCTTTTTTTCCCCCTTCCCTTTTTTTTTTTTAAACCCCCTTCCTTTTTTTAACCCCTTCCTCCCCCCTCCCCCTTAATATATATATATATACCTTTTTATCCCTCCCCCATATACCTACTTTTATCTCTTTTCCTTATAAAAGAGGGTCCACTGCTGCTGCAGCCACCCTTTATTTGAATCTTTACCGCTAATATTACTGTACTATCTCTCCCTTCTCTTTCACTCCAATCTCCCCTCTCCCCCCGCCTCCCCCTTTTTCTTTCTTTCTTCTTCTTCCCTTTCTTCTCCCTCCACCCTTTACATATAGCCTACTTGTCTGTCTCTGTTTCTGAGCGCACTCCCAACCCCAACTTCCACCTCAACTGGACCCCAATACCCCTTTTGGGCATATACAACCCCCTCCTAACACATATCTCCCCTGGCCCCACCCCTCCAATCTCTTGCATCTCTACCTGCTAACCCCCCTCCCTTTATATGAACTGTCTGCCCGTCAGTCTACCCATCTCTGCTTACCTGCCCCCCCCCCGCCTCGGCGGCACCGCTGAGGCATCTACAGAAGCCCTAAAGAAGTTCTTAAAACACAGACTAGAAGTGACACAAATGACCACCTAACCCAAACGCTCTGTAGAAGCCACCAACCAACAAAGCCTGATCAGCTCAGCAACCCAACAATACCCAGGAATCACCACTGCCACAACTCCTAACCACCACACGACCTACCCCAAGAGGACGCCAAGCCAACCTCAAACCAAAACCAGGGAGACCAAGACGACACCAACCAGGGAGATGGCAAACAATGTTAAGACGGTAACTCCCCTTCAAGACGATGACCACCAAATAACGAAACGAGATCTGAGGGAAATGGAAGCAAGACTAGAAGAAACACTGAAAGCCACAATGGCTCCCATGCAGGTACTAATCAACAATCTAACCTCCAAAGTGGAAGCTCTAGAGAACAAGAACCAAATGCAAGAAAGAATAATAGAGCAATACCGGGAAGAGAATGCACGTGTCAACAAGAAACTGGACGAACTGGTAAACCAAATGGAAGCAGAACACAGAGAGATGAAAATTAAGCAAGCCGACCTTGAAGACCGCAATAGACGTTGTAACATCCGCTTCCGCAACTTTCCTGAAAAAAACAGAGGAGAAA